TATCAGTATGCGCTGTGGCTCTTTGGCATCTTTGGAAATGGCGGAACGAAATTCTTTATGCTGAGGATGAGGTGAAAACCAAGAAAAAAGGTGAAGATCCTTTCCCTTGTGTTCAAAATTTCTCGAAGCTTTGGATGGGAATCAGAAATCGTAAATTTCATCTTAATTGGGAAGTTTGGTCTTCCTCTCCCTATTTTATTTAGTCTCTTTGTTTTTGTCCTCCCGCCTGTTTGGGATAGGTTTTCTTTTTTACTTTGGTTTTGTAAGGGGATGTCTTGGTTCCGTCTTTTTGCCCCTCGCATTTTTGGTTGYGTTGTATTTTCTTGTATCTAGCTTCTTGCTAGATTTGTTTTCGTGTTAATATAGTGGTTGGCTTGGTGAGGGTGATGGCCTTGCCGAAGCTCTCTTCTTTGTCCTTCCTTTTGCCTTTCAAAAAAAATATTACATTAATCAATCTTTTTCTAAAATTTAATAGTCTAAAAACAAATCATTTAGATTTACAAATTTTTCCAATAATATAGCATCTTCAACATATTCTTCAAAAAATTTCCAAAATGGATAATTAAAACTCTATTAAAACCAGACTCGAGCTCCCCGCCCCAGCCAATCTCCCATTGGCAGGAAAGTCGTTTCGATCCAATCCATTATTGGGATCAAATAAAGACAAAAAATGATATGTTTTCTCTCATTGTAATCAATTTTTGTTTACACTCTCTCATGTTTTCTCCGTTTTGGAGAATTTTGGAGAGTCTGTTGTAGCAAAAATATGCCTAAAATCTCCATTTTCTCAATTTTGAAAAATCTATTGAAGATGCTCTTATATTTCGGCCCCCCGGACTACAACGGTTGTGTTTCCGCCCCTGGGTTGAAGATAAAAAGACATTCATTTTCATGTTGGGTTGAATATAATATAAAGTAAGTGTTTATTTTTAAAACTAAGTGCACCATTACCGGTTAAATATTTTATGGGTTTCTTTAGGTATATATAACCTTAAATGAAATTCTAATTAAATCTATAACTTCCTCATGAATATAGGCCTATTTAGGGGGTGTTTGAGATTGCTTATTTGAAACAAATTATTCTTTTCTATAAAGGCACTTATCAACTTATTATAAGTCAGAAGGGTTTAACTTCTTCAAAAATTTATTATTATCAGTTTGACACCGTTATAAGTTGTTTATCCAAACACTCAAAAATGTTTATTACCAATGTCACACTGGAATAAGTCAATAAGTTGTTTTTATAAGCAATCCCAAACACCCCCAAATGTAATAGATCAGAAATTCATATCCATAAATGGCACCTGTTTACGAGCTATAGCCACCAATTTCACTTACATTATCGACCCTTGTTTACGAGAAAGCCATATCCCTAAATGGTCAAGCGTTTATCACTCGGTAAGTGTTTATCGAATAGTAGCCACAACCCTGAGTAACATTCTTAGTTTTTGTTATGTTCACCTAGTAAGGTAAATGACAAGATACACATTTGGCAAATGACTCCTAAGTATCTACTTACCAATTTTACCTTAATTATAAGATTATAAAATTCATTACTTCTGCTATTATATATGGTAATTATTAATTAACTAAAAGATGTAATAATTACATATTTATAAAATTATAAACTTTTTATTGAGGTTATATATTTTTGAGATTGAGGGAGTATTTTGTTTCGATTAATATTTTGAAAAACAAAATTCAATTTTTTTTTATTAACCTGGATATCCAATACGTTATGTGAGCCGACTAATCCCAGAGCGACCACTTGCTTTGCGGATAGCCTGGAGTAATCGCATTTGAACTTCCGTAGCCACAAGGAGATTTTTATTCCTCATTGGATTTGAACTTGAGACCTCCAGGCACTTTGACCTTTAGAGCTTAAGTTCAAACCAATCAAACACCATCCTTGTAGATTTATTAAAATCTAGCTTTCAAAAATAACTTGATTTTGACTTTTTTTTTTTCATTAAAGAACTTGTTGGAGATACCTTCAATATATTCTCTAAAAAAAGAAAAAAAAGAGATGTCGAAATTCTCCGGATTTGAATACTTTTCCAAAAATAATTATTTAGAGAGAGAAATATTTTTATTTTATTTTATATACAATGAGAACCTTTAAACTTAAATAATCGAAAAAGAAAAATAATATTTTATTAATTGTATTAAATACTTTAATATTATAATATATAAAATAAAAAAACTGTTGAAATTTAGTGTAATAAGTTTTTTAGAAATTTTAATTTTTTACTTTTTATTAAAAACAGTAAAAAAGTTATTAAAGATGCTCAATATTTATGTCAAATTAGAGAAAATTAAGATTTTAACAACTTTTTTGTTACAACAGCTATGCTAAAATAGGAAAAAATAAAAGAGATGGTATAAATCTTTAAATTTACGTTGTATTCTCGAAACTTTTTTTAGGAAGGAAAGAGGAGGAAAGTAAAATAAACTCGTGTTGTCGAAACTTTTTTGTGAGAGAAAAGGTAAGAAAAGAAATCATAAGTTTCATCCCAGAACTTTTCTTCCAGATGCGGGAGGAAACTTATGATTTATTTCCTTCCATTTTCTCTGTGAGAGGAAAATGACGGAAATGAAAGAAAATAAATTAAAATCATTTAAAAAAAATTACAAAACTACTCGATTTTTCAAAATAAAAAGCAGATTCTTAAAGGGTCTATTTGTAAAAGAAATACATTTTTTTTTCTCTCTTATTCAAGAACATGAAAAATTATTTTCATTATGTTTTTTTCTTTCATTTTTTTTCGTAAGATTTTCCTTCCCTTTCGACAACACAAATAAAAAATTATTTTCATTTCTTTTTTTTTCCGTCCCTTTATTTTTCATCTCTTTCTTTTATTTTCTCCCTGAATTGGAGAACTCATCGTTAAAGAAATATTTAAAACTCCATATTTAAAATAGAGAAATAATTTTTTATTCTTTCTCACCAATTAGAGACATAGAAATTAAGAGTTTAAGAGACAGAAAAAATATTTTATTAAATGTATTGAATATTTTAATAATATAATCAATGACAAAATT